TCATGTAAGGTACGCGTACTCGACAATCGAGCAAAGAATTTTCTTAGGAGACTGTTGTTAGTTGAGTCAAGCGTGCGTTAGTTTCCAAAAGAGAAAATAAATTTTTACCAAATGGAGCATGTCTTTCCAATTGCTGTCATTTCCATTATTGACTCAATTGAAGATAGGGGAGAAGAAAAACTTGATCTAAGTGCCATTGGTTCTCGCGTTTTTGAGGAAAATTTTTCAAAATGCCGTTGCAATACGAATGTAGGAAGAAAAAATTCGTTTCTTTGCATTAATTGCGTGGAAAGAGGTCGAATAATTGGGAATATAACGAGCATTGAAGAATATCCTTATAAATGCCATAATAAATAATAATCTTTTTAAAATGCTGTTTCGAATTTTCAGTCAATTGAGCAACAACAAACCAAAGCAAAAAAAAAAAAAACAAAAACAAAAACCAAAATATGTAGATCTAATACCAATATAAAGTATTTGTAGGAGAGAATAGAAGTTTATCGTGTAAAAGTCTCTGGTATTTCGACTCTATGAAAAATATTAAAATATTAGGCTTTGAAATTGTTTTACTATTAAAGTTCGTTGCTTTACGTCCATGTAGTAGCGTACCTCGGTAGTGGCGTCACTATCTACTCGTTTCAAGACGATCTAGAAGGCGAACGTTAGCGATTGTTGGGTGGCGTTGACGAGCCGGAACTCGTTAGTCTGGAATCCTTAAAAGCCTGAAAGTCCGATGGTAAGGTAACTGAGCCAGCCAATGATACTAGGATATAAAGGATGACGCGCAAGTCATTAGTTTGCAAAGGAAGCTGCGCGAATATTATTAGCAGCTTTATATTACCCAAATGTCAGGGTCTTGTATTTCCAAATCATCGTGCTCGAGTTTGTTTTTCTGATGATTTTGATTATTGAAAGGGAGAAGAGAAGCGAATTTGCGAGTATATTACATAGACTTTCGTGTGAATGATGAATGATAGTTGCTCTATAAGTAGAAAATATTGTAGGCGTCGGAATCATTTGCGTGATGTCTCGTAAGCTCGATGATTAATAGGACACTGGAGATTTATAAATCCTATGAATGTTAAAATACTACGTCGACGATGAATTTTAACTGTATTTTTAACGGACGAACAGTCATCGATTGTATTCATTAAAGGAATATTTATATTTAATAAACGAATAATTTATCTTTGAGTAATAACAGCGATCGTATTCTTTTTCCCTTTTCACGCGTATTTTATTACACAAATAATAAATGAAAATTCTAAAATGAGATGAAGGCAAATTTAGCAAGAGCCACCACGAAGTCTTCGCAATACATACGAGGCTCAATAAAATTTTTTGTTGTTTACAAAATGTTATAATTGCTCTTTTCCCATTATTAACATTTTACGGCCATCGCCGAAGCACTCAAAACTTAATTAATTATTAATTTATTATTAATCGACTTTCAATTAATGCTTACTTCAATAAATTTATCGTATCGGGCTTCCTCCGCCGTTCACGCGTCATTCGCTACGCACACATGATGTATACCTTGTGGAAATAATTGTTTGAAGAGAAGGATGAAATTATTTAAGGCTTCTATTCTCTTCTATTGATGCATATTACGAATGAAATCCAATCGATCGCCTTATTTAAGTGCTATCCATGATTATTTCAAAATGAGGAAATCATTAGTTGTTATGCAACTAATTGGCAATCATGGGGCGCCGTATCATATCCAAGTAAAAGTAAACATGTAAATTAATTTTTTAATTCTATTCGGCATTAAGCTCCCTAACGAGCTAAACTATCTTGTATTGCTTAACTGTTGTCTGATGGAATTGTGAGGGTTGTCGATGGTGGTGGTGGTCGAGGCGTTGGTGGCGTTGGCGGGGGCGTTGGCTCCAGGGGCGACCGGAAGGTAGGGGCTAAATTGTTGAAACTCGGTTTCGAGAGTTCCACTACTGGTGCTCCTATTGCATATGTCGTTGCTTTTCCTATTGTTGCTGATGCTGCCCTCGCTATTATCGCCGCTGCTCAGGGGATTTCAATGTCAAGGGCACGAATCGATGAAAATTGGTGAAACGGAGCTGTGCAAACGAATACTAATTTTCTCGCTCGAGTATTTGTTTAGTGGAGACTCAACACCCACGACTATCATGCGTGAGAGACCTACTTCCTGCATTAATCACATCCGCCTTTAATACTTATCTCCCTCTTCCTCAAAAATCATCGTTATTGTTGGCTTATCGTCAAATACCCGTTAATTGAAATATGCGTATTGACAAATTTTATTGATTATTATTATTATTATTATTATTATCATTATTATTATCATTATTATTATTATTATTATTATTATTATTATTATTATTATTATTATTATTATTATTATTATTATTATGGGAATGAGATGCAGAGATGTCCACGTTATTTTCGACTATTTCAATATCTGCGCGATCTCTTTGCATTAAACGATAGTTTTCGTTCCATCAAGCATTTGATATTATATTTTATTTTTTACATTTACTCCTTAATAATTATCATTATTATTAGTGTTTTCATTTTCGTTATTATTACTTCAATAAAGAATGAAGGCTTAGGCTTTTGTTAATTAATTTTTAAGAATATTGATTATTGATTTACAATGATACGGAAACTATATTTTAATTTTGATTTTTGATCGTTTGAAAGTAATATTTCTTGATAATGCTGTTTCTGTTTTTCTCGTCACGAAAGTTCTTGGCAACGCGACTGATGGATTAATAGTAAAAATTTGTATAAAACTTCAGACTCCGGATATTCGGGAGTAGCTTTAGTTCAGTTTAGATTTGTATAAAGGAACTTTAAAATATAAATCATTTATTTTTACTCGGGGCTAAGAATCTTATAGTAATTAAAAATTTTGATTAAATGAGTCGTAGGTAATGATGTTTGAATGTGATAATAAATAAATTAAATTAAATCGACGACAAAAACAATTTTATTTTGTATTGAAAGATGAGCGAATATAATATCCAAAATAGCTTGAATAAGAGTAATTAATTTTATTGAAATTAAATTGTTTTTCAACGTATTTTATTTTATCTACATTTTCTCTACGTTTTATCATAGAATTGCAGTATTTTGATAAAATTAAAGTTTATCAAATAGTAGGTATGAAGTGAAGTAAACAAAGAAGAAAAGGAGAGGGAAAGATTTGATAAACGAAATAAGTAAAAAGGAATTACTTTCCATTTGACAATCTGACGAAAGAAAATTAATAGAAAGAGTAATAAAACAGCGCTGAATGTGCTTGTGAAAAGTATCGATTATATATATATATATATATGTATATATACCGTATTTGTATATCTATCTGACGAGTACAGGTGAGAGCGAGAGAAAAATGGACGAAGGCAAAAGCCTTAACAAAATAAGGAAAGGGACAGACGCTCGTTAACGTGGTTCACGCTTTCCACCTCTGTTGTCCGTAACTTTCGAGTCGCTTTCGAGAAGGAGAGAAAAGATGAGAGCGAGAGACAACAAGCCACACGCGAATTCAACGAGTGACGACGTCACTCGAGGACTCGTGCTACTACCATCTCCCGATTATAACGCTCAACTCAAAACCAAGGAGCTCTTCCCTCCGTAGCTGATGCCACCGCGTTTTCCCAAATGCGTCCTCTCCTCCTCCTCCTCCTCCTCCGCCACCGCCATCTACTACCTCTTCACCTCTCTCCTCCTGTCCCATCCCTACCTGCTCGTCGACCCCATCCTCACCCCCGCCACAACCCTATAAGCGCCCGTATCTATCTCTTCCCTGCCTGTTTATGCGCCACCCTCCGATCAATATCCCCGCTCGATGTGTGTCCTTTATTTTTCAACCTGACACATTTTCGTATTCCTGCTATATGGCGGCCCCTTTCCTCGACGCCTGACTCACGATGAAAAGCCTAGTTGGCGATTATTGTCTGGAAATCCGGTAGTTCCGGGGATTCGACAGCTGCTACATCTTATCTACCCCCCTAACCTCCTAACCCCCTACCCCCTACCCACTAACCCCCCTCTATACCTTCTAATCATCCTATCTCTCCTCCACACGCCCCTCACGCTCTCTCTCCGCAAAATCCTACCCATCACACCGCCTATCCTGCGACCCTATTCTCTCACTCAAGTTCAGTCTTATTTCGCGACTCGATAGATAAGCCTTATTGATAACGCACACAAATAATAATAATAACATTCGTGAGGGGGATGCTAGATTGCTGATTGGAAAGTGCTGGGGATAATAATCCAGGCCATACCAATATCAATATAACACAACTTTCCAGGTCATTTCATCATCCCCGTTTATCGGACTCGTTTTCAATATCTAACGACGTCCTTTTACCAATTAGTCGTTATCGGCCCTTTCTAATTTTAATAACTGCTCAGCCATTAGGAATAAAGAGAATTATGTCGTCGCACACAATAACCAGGCGACAATTAAGCAAATCGATGAAGCGTCACATCGAGCAAACGGGATTCGCTCACGTGCCTCTGCCCCCTTAATTTAGCCTATTCTCCTTCCCCTCCCCCGTATCTCCATCCCACCATCCCATCCCCACGTCATATCCCCTACCCTCCCCCGCCAATCCCAATGTTCTCATTCGCGAGCACGAGTACCCTGGTAAACGAAGCGCAGCTCTTTGATCGTCGGGAGCTCTCGGAGCTGTTGTCTCGCGGGTGCCCATGTGGGGAGGGATCGGAGCGATCGGAGGGAGAGAGAGAGAGAGAGAGAGAGAGAGAGATAGAGAGAGAGAGAGAACGAGAGGGCCAGGGGGAGGGGGTTTTAACGGTTTCCGCGCAATGACAGACAATCGAAAGAGACTAGCTGAAGCCTCGAGGCAATGGCGTCTCTCGGTCGGTGCTTTATAACAAAGCGTCAACGACGACAACGACGACGATGACGTCTATGACGACGAAGACGAGGACTATTGATCCCCTCAGTCCGAACGAGAGCTTAAACACAGACCCGATTTGATTGTTTTCAGCTTATTGGCCGCGTGGCGACTCCGCGGCCTCTTCCCTCTTCGGCGGGATGCCGGGTGGCTATGGGCTGGGCGCCCACCACTTGCCCTCGGCCTATGCCATCTTGGGTCGCGGTGGAAGCGGCCCTGGCTACGGAGGACATACCGCGGCCGCAGGTCCGCCCCCGCCTCCGTACTCCCACAGTAGCCTTGGAACCCTGAGCGTGGCCGCGAGCCAGGCGGCGAGCCTCGGGATCAACTCGGCCTCGGCCGCCTGGTGGACGATGGCCACCCACCTTGCCACCCAGGATTACCTCGCGAGGCTCCAGGGCGCAGCGGGCCTCCCGGCTTTCCCACCGGGTGCCGAGAGCCTCCTGCCCCCCTATCCACCGGCGCTCCTCAATGCGCCATCGCACACCTCCCACAAGTCCACGAAGTGTGAGTATGAACGATGTCGATGTCGATGTCGCGGGTGCCGAGGAGCATCGCCGGTGCCGAGCCCTGTCCACCTGGCTGGCCGTTGCAGTTCTCCTCGTCATCCCGGCCACGACACTCTCATTCAGATATCATTGGCGAGACATTGGGGGAAGCGGCGGCGTCAGGCCCGTATGCCGTGGGTCGGCTTACGATTACGATCGATTAGAAATCACTCGTCAGCCGGGCCTTTCTGCCTAATTGATAGGCCCACGTGTCCGTCCACCCGGGACAAATTGCCATTTGGCCGCGATTCCTCGCATTCGCTTAACGATTGCATCGCTCACTTATCGGGGCTTAAAAAAACAACAATAATAAATAAAAAAAAAAGAAAAAAAAAATGTAAAATTATAAGGCTGTTCTTTCTTCCCCGAACGACTGGCCAAAGATTATAGCGCGCGACTGATAGTTCTTAGCGCAAACCCGAGGCCTACGAAATTATCTGTAATTTATCAACATTTTCAGCTAAGTCAAGCAAGAGTCACAAGACAGTGGCGGCCAATAATAGTAGCAGCTCAACATCAAGCGCGAGTCACTCGAGCACCTCGATAGTGTCGAGCCAGGTGCAAGCGTCGACCTCTCATCACAATACCAGTACCTCGTTAACGAGCACCACTCAGTCATCCGCTTCGCAGCCGAATGTCGTTACGTAAGCGGATTGGAAAAATAATTATTAGTTCTATTGGATGCGAGAGCTTGTGTGCGTGTGCGTGCGTGTGCGAGCGTGTGCGATAGAAAGATATCGTATTTCGGTGCGTTGAGGGATGTCTGTGGGGTTGGGATTGGGGACGGTGCTGATGGGTGGAGTGGGTGCGATGGTTTGCCATTCGATATCACTCACACTCCGTGTATGTACGACGATGACGACGACGATGACGACGACGATGACGACGACGATGACGACGACGATGACGACGACGATGACGACGACGATGACGACGACGATGACGACGACGATGACGACGACGATGACGACGACGATGACGACGACGATGACGACGACGATGACGACGACGATGACGACGACGATGACGACGACGATGACGACGACGATGACGACGACGACGAAGACGACGACTATCCATTCCATTCGCGCTATCGTATCGTATCAAATGTTGTATCGTATTTCGGTGCGTTGAGGGATGTCTGTGGGGTTGGGATTGGGGACGGTGCTGATGGGTGGAGTGGGTGCGATGGTTTGCCATTCGATATCACTCACACTCCGTGTATGTACGACGATGACGACGACGATGACGACGACGATGACGACGACGACGAAGACGACGACTATCCATTCCATTCGCGCTATCGTATCGTATCAAATGTTGTATTGTTGCCGTGGCGAAGACTGCTCGGGCGATTGTGTGGGTGGTGGTGAACGAACGGGCTGAAGGGTCGTGAGATCGGGGAATCGTGGGATCGTGGGATCGTGGAATGGTGTCGGAGTGGTGTGGGGGGTGGGTTGGTTGGTTGGTTGGTTGGTTGGTTGGTTGGTTTGGTTTGGTTTTGCCGAAGGACCGCGGATGAAGTCGTAGTGTACGTGTTGAGCTGGCCCGGAGGTCTCGCAAAGTGCCTAATGGTCGTAAACGATTTACCTTAGCGATCCGAGCAGCATATTGGGCGGCGTCCGACTGCCACCCGACACGGAGATTATTAAGTACACGTCGAGCATCGTCGGGCCCAAGGTCCCGGGCACGACGAACCGTGGCCGGAAGAAGACGATATCCCTGGACTCGCCGTCGGTGAGTGTTCACGCCCCCTACGGCTCGGGCGGCTCCGTACTCCCGGCCCACCAGACGAACAGCGGCTCCGGCGCCTCCATCATGATGGAGTCCGCCGCCAAATACAACCGCTCGAGGGTAAGCAGCCACGACGACGACGACGATGACGAGCGCGCCCTCGGCCGGCCTAAGCCGCGATTACGCTCCTTCCAGAACGACAGTAGCGGAGATTACCGTGACACGGTCGACCGGGTCGAGGTCATCAAGCTCCCGGCCCACTCGACCAACGGCTCCATCCTCTCGGCCCCGGCCAACTACACGAGCAGCGGCATCGGCAATTCCGAGCCCGACGGGCCGCTCAATCTCTCTCTGAAGCCGTCCTCGAGGAGCGGCGGCTCGCCCCTCGGCGGCAACCAGCCCCTCAGCCAGCTCAGCAATCTAAGTCAGTCGCTCTTGGCCTCCGACCGAACCTGTAAGTACAAAACGAGGGTGCGAACGTCCCCGAGGCGAGGCACGATTAATCGCCGGCCATGTTATGTCGCGTTGTAGCGCGCCGCAAGCCCGGGCCGAAGCCCCGGCGGGTGCCCCAGAACTCGGTACCGGTCCCGGCGACGCCCAACCCCTCGCTGGCCCAGCTCTTCGCCGCGGCTGACTCGCCCCAGCGACCGAGCAGCGGCAGCGAGGAGAGCGAGAGCGCCGCGGGCCCGACCCACCAGCAGCACAAGGACCGACCGAGGAACCTCGGCCGCGGTGTCTCCAAGCCCAAGAAGAACACGGTCGCGTCGCTCCTCGCCCAGAGCCGGGCCCTCGGCATCAAGCCGAGCCCGGCCCTCGATCCGAGCGTGCCCCTCTCCCACCAGGTATCCCTCCTCAGGTCCAACATTCTCGCGGCCCAGCTCCACGCCTCGACGCTCGGCCACCACGACGACAGAAGCCAGGTGAGCTCAAGGGACCCAACCACTAGGGCCCTGACCTACTACTTCGCCCATCGTCGTCCCACACTTAAAAGCCCGGCTTCTTATTCCCTTTGCATAGCGATCCTTGCAGGAGAAAATGAAGAACAAACTGATGGAGGCCAGCGGCGAGGAGAGCAACATGGACGTGACGAGCGAGAGCGGCAGCAACACAGACGTGCTCACGGACACGGACGATGACAACGGAGACGGGACGCCCAGCGCGAAGAAGCGCAAGCTCAATCACAGCGACAAGGACCTGCAAGTGCCGCTCGAGCGGGGCTGGAAGAGGGAAACGGTGATCAAGGGCCTCGGCAAGACGGGCATCATCAAAGGCGACGTATCCTATTACAGCCCCTGCGGGAAAATCTTTCGGAGCAGCTCGGAATTGCTGAAGGTGCGGCTCGCTATTTACTTAGCCCTTACCAACCAACCATCGCCTCCGCACATAACACAATACCTTTTGCTACCGTCTTCCTCTAGTTCCTCGAGATGCTTAATCCGGCCGAGCTGACTACGGCCAACTTCTCCTTCTCGTCCCGTCCCCTCGTGGGCGAGTTCCTTCAGCCGACGATGGGCCTGGCCGAGGCGGAGTTCGTGAGACTGGGCGCTCAAGAGGTGGCGAGGAGGCTCGAGGAGCTTAGGGCCGCTGGCGGCTTTCGCGACATCAGGATCAATAACCAGTACGAGAGGGACAAGCTGGCCTACGCCAAAAAATTGGCCAAGGAGGAGGCGCAGCGTCATAAGGAGCAGGCGAGGTATACATCCGCCGAGCGATACACACGCATTTATCCGTGCCCCACTCGACTGTTCGCTTCGATCATCCACGGATTACCCCCCC